CACAAAGACGTGGTCAGCCCAAGGTAAGTGAGGAAGGAGAGTTTGGTGGAGGAAGACGAGCAGGAGGAGGAGGTGGAGGATGGAGGAGAGCGTGGTTTCAGAGAGATGAGGGTGGTGATGGGGAGGAGAGGAGACAAATCCCTCCACCCTGCCCGGTCAGAGAGCGAGGGATGAAGAGGAGGAAGAGAGGACGGTGCAGCCACGTGTTTGCTGGGCGTTGTGTGCAGCCGCTGAACATGTTTGTTTGAACGGTTATTGTCTACGTGCACATACGATCGGTGTGTGTGCACATCACCAGGCATGTCTGCCGTGTTCTTGTTAACGTGCGCTGCGTGCTTGACCTTGCAGTGCAGGCGCAAACTGTCCCGTCGCTTGGCACTATAGGGGCAGAGGTCGCAGGTGAACGGCCGCTCCCCCGTGTGCACGCGCACATGCTCCACCAGCTTGTTGGCTGTCCTCGTAAGGTGGCCGCACCGGTCGCACCGGTACTGGTTGCCTTGGCGATGACCCTGGAAGTGAACCAGCAGCTCCTGTTGTCCTGGAAACGACCTCTGGCAGATGCGACAGCGATGCTCAGAGGTGCTCTTCTCCTGCTGGGTTGCCATGGCAACTGCCAGAGCGCTGCTGGAGGCTGCAGTGGCAGCAGGAAGGTTGACGGGGCATCTGGGAGTCAGGAAGGGTTCAAACATACACACATAAAGAGAATAAGCACACGCACCAAAAGTGAAGGAGAAACCAGTCCATCCCAGAGCACAGATACAACACGTGACGTAACAGCTGCAGCTACCGAATCTGACGCCTCATTTTTCACAAGCCATTTCACCCACTAGAAGTCCTGGTTCACATTTTAGTACACTTAAATTATTGATCTGATGTGATACGAGTCAAAGTTAAAGGAAAGTGATGTGAAGGTCTATGAAAGGCTCTGAAGTACGAAGAGTCAGCTGCACTGTGTCGTCCTCATGAAGCCATTCAGTGACCTAGAGCTGCAGCCATGAGTCAGTTCACTGGTAGAAAATGAACCTCAGCTATTTAGAAGCAACAGTCACCGACATGTTCTGGTTCCACCTTCTTTAATGTGAGGAGCTGATGCTTTTCTTTGTCAGACATGAGAATCAGCTGAGTCTCTGTGGGTCTGCTGGTTGGACACAACAAGACGTGTGGAGACGCCACCTTTGGCTCTGGAGAGTCACAGTGGGACTTTTCCCCAGTGTCTGACATTCTGAGGTTAAACTGATCAGATCATCAAGACGATGATCAGCTGATTGATCAGTGACCCTGCTGGTTGGGTTTACAGTCTGTTCATTAATTAATAAGCTTTCTAAGCTGCCACGTGACCCTCTTTCCACTCATGTATTCAGGGGTTTCCTTTCATTTATCACCATCATTTACTATTATTTTCTGATCTAAAGCCAAACAAACTCATCAGTATCACATAGTTTAAGTTATATTTAGTGGCGCCTCACAGTTTTATAGTGAACCCACCTCATGTCTTCACCAGCTCCTGTGTCGCCCTGTATGTGTGTGTCGGCGTGAACCCTCATCTCTGCCTCCTGATTGGTTGAGTGGTCGCACATGCAGCAGTGCAGCGAAAAGGAGCCGTGCTCCCATTGGCGGTGCTCTGTCATGTGACTCTGGAAAAGGGCACGCCCATCTGTCTCAAACCCACAGACGTGACACCTGGTGGGGGGGGTTAAAGTTGTAGTTGCTGCTATGATAACGGTGGAAAGTAACTAAGTACATTTACTCAAGTACAATTTTATAATTTTGAGGTATCTGTACTTTACTTCAGTACGTTCACTTCCTGCTGTTCCATACTTGGACTTCACTACATTTCAAAAATATACTTTTTACTGCACTACATGTAAATAGATGTAGTGTATAACTTTTCAGAATCATGAATCAAACTAAACACAGTATGTATGTATATTACTTCACAGTATAAGTACATAAGATGGTTAACATTAGTTCTACTATTCTATTATTACTTGCAGTAAATAAAGAGTCTGAGTACTTCTTCCACAAGTAATGCTAACAAATATTTTGTTTGTGTAAATGTTTCTTTCCATGAACAGTGAACTTCTATTATGACTAGTACTTCTTTTTTTTTTAATTTTAGTAAAAGAAAAAAAATCCTTTCACATAAAGTACCAGAGTTTCAAAATACTTCATTACAAGTAAAATTTCTACATATGCTGAGCTAACCCAGTGCTTTACTGGTGGGAGAAAGGGATTTAAAATGTGTGTGTGTGTGTGTTCAGGTATTTCTTCCTGCACAGTTGTGTGGACCTGTGTCACTTTACACCTTGTGAAGACATTTTTGGAAAGTTGGGACAATTTGTCCGGTCCTTGGTTTTTGGTTTTTGGTTTTTGGTTTGGAAGTAGGTTTGAACTGGACTTATGCTTTGAGGCTTGTGAGCCCATGATGTCACTGAGGGTCTTCACAAGTACAGAAGCAGAAACGTACCTGTAGAAGTAAGAGCAACCTGTGGTTTGATCTCTGCTGAGGCTGGTTTGGGTTTCTGGGAATAAAAAAAAGAAAAGAGTGTATTTTATTCAGCTCAACGATTCATGAAGTAGATCCTCCGCTGCTGTAGTTTTCTTTTTTCGGAGCACTCCAAAATCTACTACTGACGAGTCCCTTTGGAAGTTATTAAGGTTAATCTTCTCTACGACTGAGAGTTCAGTCAGTTGACTTCAGTACCATGTTTAATATAAACCCAAAGGGCAATGTAGTGGCAGCATAAATCCAAAACAAACAAAAACTACACTGAAAGACAATCATTAAAAAGTAATAATAACAATAAGGCTGGATTAAAACACTACAGCCATAATAAATGGATAAACTCCACAAAGGTCTTTATTTAATAGTGTTAGTGCATTGAGAATAAAAACGCCTGTGCTGGTTAAAACCCATCTGAGGAACCTGGCGCAGATGCCTCAAGGAATAAACAATAAAACAATGAAAAATGCTTCCTACAACCTTCGCTAGGTGGCAGACGGGCTAATTTGAGCTCTATATTCTAAGCTGTGTTTCAGCGTCAAACTGATTTATGGATACTCGTATAAATTCTTTGGATCTCGTTGTGATTAATGTGAATAACAAGCCCATCCACATTCCCACGGTGTCAAATACCAACAATATGTCAAGAGCCTTTAGCGTTAGGGTTTTCAATACAGGCAAGGGGGGTGGGGTGGATGGTGGATGGTGGGTCAAACAAAACACTGACCTTTCCTATAGGAGAGCAGAGTTCAGGTCCAGTGTGTAATGAATCTTTTGTTGTCAAATCCCATGAAAGGACCAACACATGTTCCTTCATTACCACAAACACACATTAGAGACTAATTGTGGATTAATCCGCTGCTGAAAATAGTCCCCACCAAATGCACAGTTTCCTCCTTTTTAAGTAACGATGAATAAAAACTACAGTGAGCTGCTGTTTCAGGAATGTAGTAGAATGTCGAATTACCTTTTTCAAAAAATGACACTATACATTTGAGATATGTTTTTTAAATATTTCCATTTTCAATAGGAAGGAATGAACTTGGAAATGAGAACTAGGAGAAATCCAAATATTGAACACATGGTTTCAGTCTTTCTCTGGAAATTGTTGACAGTAATAAAGAAATATTAGCATCTCATAGCCTCATCCTCTGATGCTAATGTTTCTTGAGCTAAAAGACTGCAGTTCTTCTCAGAGTCCTCACACTTACCCTGCTGTTTGTTTTAATTTCACTTGGATCAGTGGTAAAGTTGAGCCTGTTAGCTCTTTTAATCCTTCCCCCCAACTGACAGTGCCGTTTTTCATTACTGCATATCGTTCTGAGATTGGCAAGGCAGCAAATCAATGATACACATAACCCTGACTCGATATATGAATTAAAAACACTCCAGTGAGACAGTTATCAGCATTCAAAGATCTACGCCTCGCCAACCAAACAGGGGCTACCGAGCGTTCTCACATAAAGCCCCTGTGTTTTTATCCCTACGTATTGATGCTGGTGTAGCTGTGTACAGTGTCTTACCATGTGGAGGTTCCTGGGAGCTCACGAGAGGAGAGGAACGGAGCGGGTCCACATTCACCTTCAAAACAGGACTACAAAAAGGGTAACACACAAGTGTGCTCTCAAAACTGCAGGTACAGGTCAGAGGTCAAAGCATGCACATGGGACGACTGACTGATGACAGGAAGTGTGGTGTTACCTGCTTCTGATTGGTGGAGTCGTCCTGTCCACCAGCTGACTGTTGGATTTACTGACCCTCTCTGCAGACAGACAGACTGACAGTTAATCTGGTGTTACACGTACAGTTATTCATCTGATTCGATAAAAAAAAACACTGAAGCTATCAAATACATGCAGTGCAGGAGAAAGTACAATGTCTGCCTCTGAAATGTAGAGAAGTCCAAGTATGAAGTAGGAGAAAATGGAAATACTCAAGTAAAGTATCCAAAATTCCACTGATGTAACAGTACTCCAGTAAATAGGATTACTTTGCACCACTACTGACAGTCACATTTCTTCTTTGTTTTTTTACACTAGTTAGTTATTGTAGTCCCCTTTTTATGTAAGTTTAACCTGATAAATCTATCAGGGAATCGTGTTCCTTCTCCTGAGAAACTCCCATCATCCCACCTGCAAGTTACACACAGGATATTTTGTTGACCTGAATCCAAATCACAACCCTCCCATCAGTTTCAGTTGCCTCTATAGCTGAACCAGGATTGTGAGAAGGTGTTTGCTACCTGAGAGCTGGTGCAGCAGTGTGGATGCCAGGTTCACCGACATGTCCTGCCACAGCACGGCTCTGAGGCACTGGTCCGCCATCTTGGCTCCAGAGGTGATCTGGTCTTCCATTTTGGCTCCAAAGAAAAGCTGCTCCTCTGTCTTTGTTCTGGAAAAAACCTGATCTACCATCTGGGCTCCAGGAAGAAGTCGGTCCTCCATCTTTGCTCCCAAAAAAAACTTGTTGCTTATCTTTGTTCTGGAGAGAGGCCGCTCTGCAATCGCTGCTTTCAGTAGAAGCTGGTCTGCCATCTTGGTCCCAGACATGCCACGATCCTCCATTTTCACACTGAACTGAAACTTGTTGGCTCCAGACATGACACTATCTGCTGTCTTAAAGCCAGGCTGGCAGCCGCCAGCTAAGGCCTTTTCTTCTACTTTAAGGCCAAGGAGACACTGGTCTGCCATTTTGGCTCCAGGGTGCACCTGCTCAGCCATGTTGTTGCCACTGAGACCCTGGTCTTTAATGGTGAAGACATGGTGGCTCGTCATCTTTGGCATAGATGCAGTCATCTCTCTTGTGACAGGTCGATCACGGACCATGGTGTCGACTTCCATGGGCTCCTCTTCTTCTTTGACCCTCACCCCGTGGCAGTTCACCTCCTGACGCTCTGCGATTGGTGGGAAATCTTTCAGTGTTCACCCACAATCAGACAATGTGAAAAACTCTAACTGCACTAATTCAGTTAGTAAATGAATCGAATCAGTAAAATAATAACTGTTTACCAAACAAGTGTCTGATTCCGGCTTCTCACGTGTGTCAGGATTTGCTGCGTTCTCTGTTTTACAACACTAGATGGTATATCTGTCAGTTTTGTGCTGTTGGCTGGACAAAACAAACAAACCTGAAGAAGTCATCTTGGGCTCTGGGAAATTGTTATGGACTTTTCTGGACATTTTATAAACTAAATCAGAGGTTCTCAAAGTCCTGGAATACAATGAGTTTGTGCTGCTTATTTTTTTCAGTTAATCAATTAGTGGTTTGGTCTGTAAAACATCAGAAAATAAACATAATCAGTTTCCAAAGCATGAGGTGAGGTTTTCAAATAGTTTTTGTAGTTGAACAATAAGCTAAACCCAGAAAATATTCAGTTTATTACAATTTTATACTGGAAAAAATCATCACATGGAGGAGCAAGAACCAACCAATATATTACTGGTGCTGCCAAAGAGGTTATGTTTTTGGCTCTGTGTGTGTGTGTGTTGGTTAGCTGGATGGATCATCAGCATACCTGGTCCAGACTTTGGTGGGGACCAGCTTTAGAAGCATCTAGATTTTGGCTGAAAAGGGTCAAAGGTCAAGGCCAGAAATAGAAAAATCCCAAAAATCCCATCTTTAACATGGGGCAAAATAAAAAAATATCCATATCTCTGTCAAAGGTTATCAAAATATTTTGAAATTTGACACATGTAAGGTGCCAACGTCCATCACCAGACCAAATTTCATCCATTTAGTAATTGAAAACCCCATTTAAAGTATATTTTCTGCCATAACTTGGTCTATAATGAAGATGGAGTCCTGACATGTTCGGGTACGATGCCAAGTATAACTGCCTATCACACTGTAACAGATGACCACGGGTTTTGGGACACACTTTGTGTTGTTCTCGTGTGAGGGAATGTTGTTTCTTGATAGAGCTCTTGTGTTTCCGTCAGTCAACAAATCAGTTGATTCACTAATTGTTTGATATCACCGTGTGTGTGGTTCAATGACAGTCTCTATGTGGGAGCCCTGTGATAGACTGGCCACCTGTCCAGGTGCATCCCGCCTCTCACCCAGTTGGAATTGGCTCTAGTGCCCCCACGACCCTCTAAAGGATAAACGGTGTAGCTAATGGATGTTAACGGGCAAGATAACATTAGGTTTACTCCAAATAAACTGACAGAGTGGTCACAATTACATTAACACACACACACACAACTGTACCTGCCAGTTTCCTCAGCAGGTCTGAAGCTAGTGTTTCTGTGGTGGCATTGCCATCAGGTGTGTGCGTGAGGGATGGTGGTTCAGGACTTGCCCCGGGGCCGTCCGGTGAGAGAGCGAGGCCGGGCTCATCCTGCTGCCCCCCACGCACTTCATGCCGCTGAGGCTTTGCCTCCACTCTGCTCCCAAGAAGCACCTGAGTTTTCTGGGTGGCCTCTGAGCACAGAGAGAAAGAAATAATGGAGCTGTGTGAGTGTGATCTGATTCAACTGTAAATAGATTACAGTAAAGTTCACATTACAGCCTGACAGCTGCACTCAGTTCCCTGTAAGGAGGTTTGTACGCTACATGGCCAAAAGTATATGGACATGTCACCGGGAAACATCTCATTATGAAATCAGTCATCATTTCAGCACCAACGCCTTTAGTACTATGCTGCAGTAATAATCAGTATACTGAAATAGTTACTGAAATAATCAGTAACTATTTTTATGATTCATTAATCATGTTTGTTCTATGAAAACAATGGCAAATAGTTTTTTAAAAAGCCTGGTTGGAGAGCAGGAAGTTGTCGTTATTAGCCTTAAAATGTTAAACTTTACAGTTAGGTTTAGGGTCAGGATTTGGGGTTAGGCTTAGGATTTGGGGTTAGGCTTAGGATTTGGGGTTAGGCTTAACCATAACCCAGCCTCTGTAAAAAGGCTTCTGGCTGAGCTTCCACCATCTTTGTCTGCCAACAGCTGCCTCTCAAAGCCTCTCAGGTGAAAGCATTTCCTGCTTTTCTTTGTCATATATCATTGTAAAATAAGTATTTTGGTCAAACAAAACAAGGCATCTGAATACTGGGTGATGTGATAGGACTCTGTCAGCCTTTACACTAAAATTCAGTTTGCAGTCTGAGGCCGTTTCACTCAAGGACTTTGCCCACTGTACACGACACATCGTGACAGTTACACAAAACACATCCTTATAAATGTACCTAACACATACGACGCGCCATATTCTTTGCAGTCAGAGCTCACTCAGCACCACAGCGACTGTGGTTAATTAACAACTATACATCAGGTTTGGCTCAGAGAAGTTGTGATGGCCATTTTTTCACTGTTTTTGACATTTCACATTAAATGATTGATCAAACAAATAATCAACAGATTAATCGATAATGATAACGATGTGCGCGGATGAAGTGAGTCTATTTGTGTGCTACCTGACAGTTTGATGAGGAGGTCGGATGCCATCTTGATGCTGACATCAGGGCTGAACAGACAGGTGGCTGCTGGGAAGGGACTCGAACCTGTGGCATGTGTGTCAGACACACTCAGCGAGCAGGCGTCATCACTGGTGTGTGTTGGTGAGTGAGAGTTTGCAGGGTGTGTGTGTCGTTTGGCTGCATCAGAGGGAGGCTGCAACACACTCGACCCACGCTTCATTTTTCAGTGTGTGTGTTTGTAAAAAGAGAGGGAGTCAAAACTCAGAAGAGAGGAGGGCAAGAGAGAAGGAAGAGGAGGAAGAAGAGGAGGAGGAAGGCTGGGTTGCTAAAATAAGACGACTGTTTTTTAACATACGGAGGTGAGGAGAGCATGATAGAGGAAAAAGAGGGAGATCAAAGTAAAGGAGAAAACGAGGAAGGCTTTGCTGTTACTGGCTCCCATTGACCTGAAAGAGAGATAAATACGGATGGAGGCAGAGGAGGCAAAAGACGATGGAACGAGAGAGAGGAACAGAAGCAGCGAGGACGAAGGGGGATGAGCTGGAGAGAGGGGGGACAGGATGGAGACAAGGAAAGGGCCATGAACAAAGTGAATCTGTGAATGAATAATTATCAAATTGATAAAGCCCAATAATAAGAGCATAAATCACTCCTGTTATTGCCATGGTAACAGACAAAGCTGAGTCGTCTCCTAGCCTGACCTTCCTGCCAACAAACAATCGTCGATGATGATCAATAATCAATAACCACTTTCATCTGACATCAGCTGTCAGCCCTGATCACGTCTTGCTCTTGGAGTAGAAAAATAAAACACATTAGCTCTGGTTTTTACTAAAATCTAAAATGAATACAATTAAAATATTTTTAAATTCCTGTTGTGATATTACATAACGTATAACAGTCTGCTGTTAAGTAAAAAAGCTAAAACAAACACACAAAAAACAAATTATTTAATATTCTGTTTACAATGTGCTAAATTAAAACTTCTAAGCAATAAAATTATTAAATTAGACAAACAAATTCATATTGGAGCTGCAACTGTTAGTAAGTTAATCAATAAGTTGAACAACTGGCAAACATTTTGATAACTGAATAATTGTTTTAATCATTTTTCAAGCAAAAACAACAAACATGCTATTTCTAGGATTTGTTGCTTTGCCACATGGAAAATGAATATCTGGAGTTGATCAGACAAGAATTAAAAAATTTTTTTTATTATATTTACCACCAGAAATTAACCTGCAGATTAATTTAAAATGATTAAATAATAGTTAGGTGCAGCCCTGATGAATATAAAAGTGATATAAATGAAAATATAATTAGTATACGGCAAATAAAATAATATAGATAATAAAAAGTCACATCTTCAATAAATTTAATACAAAGAAAAAAATGTACAATATATTTAAAATTTTTAAAAATAGCATTCCCCCCGCCGCATCCGACAGGGAAGTGAAAATGACCGGACACCGGTTTCCTCCCCAGCCCACCTCCTCCCCCTCTCCTCCCCTCGGTGTCAAAGCCCCCGGAGCCCCGCCGTTAGCTAATTCTCCCTCCCCCTACAACATGGCTGAACGGACTCCCCGCCGCACCGAGTCACACAGTCAGTGCCCGGTGTGGGATGGCAGGGGTGACTTAGTGCCGGTTAACCGCCAATTTAGACGTTTTAAGGGTTTGTTTGTTTAGCGGGAATGAGAGCAGGTGTCAGGAGCCCAGCCGTTGCCCCCCACCCCCCTCCCACTCTCCCGCAACATGGCTGAACGGTAACCCGACCTCACAAGACCTCTGAAGTCATTATCACGGGTCAGTTAGCGTCGATAACCGTCCGTAGCCTCGACCCGCTACACACGGACAATTCTCTCCGGGCTCATCTTTCCTCCGTGACTTACCGGTACCGGGAGGGCAGGTGGCGGTGGCGGTGGTGCAGTCCGGGGCATAGCCTATATATAGACTATGGACCTGTGTCCGATCCCATCTTTTTACTCCTCTTCTGACATTATCCCCCCAGTTTCTGATCATTAACGGCGTGAAAGTCAAACAGCAAACGGCGGGGATGTGATCCGTTTCTTCCCGATGACGGGTCGGTCACCGAGCAGGGCAGATGGAGGTTTCCGCCTCCTCTGTCTCCCTCCCTCTGTGTGCGTGTGTGTGTGTGTGTGAGAGAGTGAGAGAGAGAGAGAGAGAGATGCAGTGTCTCTGTCCACGCGCCAGATCATAGCACGAGGGCAGGACCTGGGTGAACCCGCGGCCGCGCGACTGTACCAGCATCTAAAGCCTCGCGCGCGGCGTTAATGTGGCAACCAGCACTACATTTAAAACCCAACAGGAGTGTATTCAGGTTAAGGCTTTAAAGATGAGGTCAGCAACCGGTGGAAATGGCTCAGGTAATAGAGGAAATGACGTTTTACCGTCTACACGTTGACAACATATGGATTTATTTAGCAGCAGGCCGGATTCACCTCCCAGGGGGTTGACCCCCAAAACCTTTAGGCCAGTTCATGTTCTCATCTCAGGGCATCAAACATTGAGGCTTTTTCAAGTAGGCTTCCCTTTAGCGTGTCAAACTGAGCTAAAGGGTACCTGTAGTTCCCTGATTGTACTGGAAGCCAATTAGTTCCACGCATGCGCAAGATGCAACCTGTTCCTGCGTGGTTAAAGTTAGGGTAAGATTATTAGGTGAGGAGATACAACACTGCAGTAAACCGATCCTTTCCACAGGCCTAGAACTGATCTGGTGGGCAGTACAGACCAGGTAGTTACGGTTGTGCCGTATGAGGCGCCCAGGGTTTGTTCAGTATGACACGCCCAAGGTACTGTATTTCACAAAATGTCAGTAAACACCTTGGTTATATGCACAACAACTTTGTGGTTAGCTTTAGGAAAAGCCTGTATTAGGTTACAATACTCATCGATTAAAAAGCATAAGATCAACCACCAAGGTGATATGGCAAATGTTCCCCTGACCCACCCATCCACCACCTGTCATGGCCTTTCTGACCCTCATATGCTAGCTAGCTAGGTCACACAAACAGTCTGTTGTTCTGGGCGTGTCATAGGCCTACTGATGTGAGTGGGTTAACACTGTACTCTACTGAAAACCCTGTGTGTCTCATAGGGATGCTAAAGCTACCCGCTAGCAGGGGAGGCTGGCATAGTTGATCTTGTGTTATGCTGGTAGTGGAGATGGTAAAACTGCTGCATTCGTGCGTGACGGCAGGGGAAACCCTGAAGCACAACACAGAAGCAAACCTGGAAGCTAGAAAACTCTTTCATTCAAGTCACTGGGCGCCGTCTTTGAGTCCAGGATCCAGTTCTTCTTAATACATCCATGCTGAGTCCAGGATCCAGTTCTCCTTAATACATCCATGTGTGTGGCTCAGGATCAGGTGACTGGACAGATGTCACGGTGTATACACTGTACCACGTACTGCTAGGTACATGCTTTACCCAGTAAAGACATTGTAAAGGACTGGGAAGCCAGTGACAGCGAGTTTCCCCTCCACTGTGTTGAAAAATCACTGGAGTGGAGAAACAACATAACTGTTGGCCCTCGACCGACCATCAGCTCCATCACATCTTATTTGTACTCGTAAAATATTGATGGTAGTAGCAGTAAGAAACACTAGTAATGTTAAGCAGTACAAGTCACTATAAACAGCATTAGCAGATAAAAGTAGTGGGAGACTAACTGCAATAATAGCAGGAGCAGTGGTAGATACAGCAGTAGGAGAACAGCTATAGTTAGAGGTATAGAGGATACTAGTGACCATAGTAGCTGTAGTACAAGGTCAAATACTACAATAGTATATACTTTAGATGCTGTGACCGTGTAGAGTTGAATCAGCTATTTGTTGTACAGTATAAGCTGCATTTGATAGTGCAGTGTTGTACTTCAGCCTGCAGGGGGAGACAGACAACTGCAATGTAATTCTCTTTTATTGCTCAAGTATTTTTAGTTGAAAGGAGACAGTGACCCGCAGACAAGAAGATAGATTCACTATTAACAGTGACAGATTCTCATATATAGCAATAATACAAGAAGGTGTTGTTTAATATAAAATATAACATGATTTCCCCTGTGCTGCATTTATTATGAGAAAAACAAAACACCAGAAGTAGTAGAAGAAGAAAGCGGAGGACTGTGTTTAAAAAAAAAAAAGTCACATTTCTGAATGCAAACAGATGCAAAATCAAGAGCAAACATCTTAAAAGTAGTGAGCATGAGTTTACCTCACAGGCCTCCATAGTTACAATAACAATAACCTCTACACAAGCGTGCTGTGCCTCACCTCATCAGCTTAACTGTGAAAATTAATTAACTACTTTAACAGGGATGGCTCATCCTCTCCAGCAGTCCAACCCCAGCCAGGTTTCGTCCTGTTCATCAGCTTTCATCCTCAGTGTCACAGGTTCTGCAGCAGCAACACACACAATTTAAAGGTTAGGGCTGGTGATTCTTTATGTTTTGTTTATGTGGCCATTGATGGTGACAGCCGTTCGCAGCCTTCAGAGCCATTTTTAAAAGCAGATGGGCCTCACAAGTTTGCTGATGAAGAAACCTGTCAGCCAGTGCAGCGGTGTGGCTCATTGGGGTGGGTTTAATAGCTACCAGACAACAACGTGTCTGGGGCACAGACCAATAAGCTAAACCAGAGTCAGGAATTACACACTTTACTGTGAGGACACCACATTGTCTGGTGCTGTTAAAGTGTGGATGGGCTTTGTGGTAAATAATCAAAACACACAATCATAGCTGCATCCTTTAAAACATAGTGACTGATAAACACATAGGGTGATGCGTTCTTACACAGCTTTGAAGAAATTCTTCTGATTCATCATGTGCTCTCTGAAGATCTGGATGGCTTGATACACATTAATCTGATTCTGGCGCTCCTCTATCACCTTTTGGTACCTGTCTCACACAAAAGGACAGAAGTCAAATCAGACCAACACCCATCTTTGCCTGACCACACACAACTTTGTGTTGTTCAGAAAATATCCTTCTGAGGACATGTCTCTGAAACTGCTCCATGTGTTAGGAAAACATCTGGCTGCTGAAATTAATGCTGCATAAAGTTTTGGAGTCACAAAGATTTAAGAATTACAGCTTTGCAGTTGTGCCCCTCCGCCAACCAGCCAAATTCACAGGACTTACAGGAGAAATTTTGTGAGAGATGACAGATGTCTTATTTGTCACAAAAGAGGACACTGGGCGCGTAACTGCCTAGTGCTTTATCAGCAGGCGCAAGGACAAGCAGGATCATATCCTGCTCAGGCGACAAATGTGCTACCATATACACCTCCAGCTCAACACCAGGCACCTGGATTCAACCAGATGCCCCAGCAATAGGGCTGCCGAAAGTCTATAACAGGTGACTCCCTGAGCCAAAAGAGCATGTTTCTTGAGCCCCTAGTCCATGTGACTATCAATGGTCGAGATCATTTATGTCTAATTGACTCAGGAGCAAGGTACTCCACTTTAAACTC